GTTTCTACTTCCTAGTTGAAAAATTTCATTCTCGCATTGTCATTATGATGGCTTGCTTGTATTTAGTTTGGATTCTGTTGAACAGCAACGTGAAAAGGAACGACAACTTGAGCACGAAGTGGACCGACTCCGCAGTGAGGCGCTAGCTCGAGAAGAAAGAGTTACTGATATTGAGAAAGAACTGCATGCGCTTCGTAAATACAAGGAGACCAACGATGTTGAGGTACGTTGATGGCTCTGATGGTAACAGGGGTGAGGCCAAAAATGTTTCCTCAATGGGGTTCGAACCGGGGGTGGCCGTGGGGTGCGCCCTGTTGCGTGCCGAGCTCTAGGCAGAGGAGGGCAAGGAGACGGCTGGAGGGGTAGGAAGAAAGTCAAAATGATGTCAACCTTTATCACTCCATGCAAGTCAGTAATGGGGAGAAGGGTTGCACTCACCATCCGTCCTCGGGCTCGGTATCACCTCTTGAGACAGGCAGTAATCCACGACATCCAAGGCGTAGATCAATCGTTGACCAGTACACTATTGCTAGTTGACTGGCAAAATTCTATGATTGTTCGGCGCGATCTGATTCCTGGAGCACATCGGCTGTAAGGCTGCGCTCATATCGTGCGACGTCGTCGTCAACGTCGATGTAAACGACGAAACCGACGTAACCGACGTTTTCTGCGACTACTTCACGAAGACGAAATATATTATATTGATCCGACGTAACCGACGAAAGCTGCGCAACCGACGTAACCGACGACAGAAAATTAGATAAGTATCGACTAACGTCGGTTTCGTCGGTTACGCCGGTTTCGTTGGTCATGGCGATTACGTCGGATCAATAGGTATCTGATCTTCGTGAAGTAGTCGTCGGTCACGTCGGATCGATACCTATATAATCTTCGCGACCTAGATGTCAAAAATGTCAGTTATGTCCACGTTGACGACGACGTCGTATGATCACAGCCTAACTGACAGCCCTTCTCCGCCGACGCGGCGCGTATTGTGTATCCGACAAAATGTACAGGTTCATTAACTTGTTGTTTGACGCAGATAATCCACTTAAGTTGGCAGTGCGCCCCCACATAGCCACCGCGTACGAATAGCTTGACTAACCATTTTCATCCACTTCAGGGCTGTTTCTGGCGCTCTTTTGTCCCCAAGTATCTTTCCTGGTATTGCTTTGCTTCTTAGAAGTGGTCTATGCCCTATACCATTTATTTGACGGCCTTATCTCAGTGTGACACATTTCGTGGCATGGCACTCACTTGCCATCGTCACAGTTCAGTTGCAGGCAGAGTGCTACGTCAGACGTTCAACTGAACTCAGAATTGTTGGCACTGCAGCGCGACTGTCCCCCCTTGGATTGATTTAGTTAGCTTATTTGCATCCTGATAATGGAGGGCCATTTATAAATTAGACTGAAGCATTCGATTTGTTTTTATTAAGGCGTTGAATATGGATTTGCGTATTATGCGAGAGAAGATGGTTCATCTGGAAGAGTCGTTAGCGGCGGAAAATAAGCTGAAACAAGAATTGTTTCGCGCTCTTGGTGACGCCAAGGCTAACAACGCTCATCTTCAGAGTAAGTGGTTTTGTTTTCTTAGTGAACCTGAGTTCTTTTTTGATGAATTATTTGTTTATTTATTTTTGATAAATTGTACATTCGTGTTTGGCATCACTTGTTCCCTCAAACTCAAGCGTGGAATGAGAAGCTGGCATCTAGGGAGGGGAGGAAGGTAACTTTTCACTTTCCGCACCGCGTTAGGGCTAAGAATCTGACGTGCTTGATGGAATTTCACCTTTAGAAGGGGAGGGCGGGAAAGTTTGCATCGGTGGTAAATTTTGCTATGGCTCTAGTTGAACTTGGTGCTTCCTAGTGCTTGTTGAACCTTGCCGTAGGACTCGATGTTTTCCAGCGATTCACTGAAACTCCTGGTAAACTGCCTTGGCCCTATATTCAAGCTGCTCAATAAGGGTGGCTTTATCGAAAAAAAAACTTCGTTTTCCATTGATTTCATCCATTCCTTATCATTCTCCATCGTTCCTAGCTACCATCCTTTTATCAGTCACTGGTACTTATGTTCGCTTTGCACACGTTTTCCCTTGTCGCCGTAAATGTCATTGTTTTTGATCGTAATGTCTTATTCTTTTCATATGGGTCTGTTTAATTTAGTGCTAGTTTCATACGTTCTTTGGGATCACTCGGTGAGTAGAGCCAGGAAACGGATTCACTGATCCGACCCACCGTTCTTTGCCACTGTAGAAGGCGGAAAGTGGAGAAGCAGACAAATTACCTCGTTTCAGCCCCACCTGAGTAGTCTGGGGTGATCGCAAGAAATTTTCCGCTTTTGCGGCTTCTTAATCAGTGACGAACGTTGTGCGGACATCTCAAGTTGCGTTCTATATGGTATATCGTACGGTAAAGGTATTACGGAATCGCAAAAGTGAGACAATCATAGCGCCAGACTACTCGGGGAAGAGGAGGAATCCTGCGAAACGATTCTGCGTGGAGTCTGTCTTTGAAGCAACTCTGTTCTCAAGCGACTGATCACGTACCAAAGTTTTTAATCTCGAAAGTTGTCTTCGTGTTGCCATCTACTTTGATTTACGTTGATCGTTTGGCAGTTTCAGAACCATTGAATCGCTCATAAAGCCCACTGCAGAATGTTGAGTTCAACAGGCGGTGCGATGGCGCTAGGACAGCAGGGCTCAAAATATAGAAAACTTGGAGCCAGTAGTGGTGAAATGAGGGTGGCATCTTTAGAACAGCGAGCGAAAAGTGATTGATTACATGGCCTGGCGCTGGGAAAAAAGCGATGAAATTGATGAAGTGATGGCGCTGGTGATTGAAGGCGATATTAGGGTCGTACCAGGAGGGAAGATAATTTATTAATTCTTATTGTAATTTGTAATAATAATTCTTATTTGTACGTATAGCCATTGCTTCACGATATGGACTTTGCCGCTGGATTGGGGCTGGATACGATCACGATATGTTAAGTGCTGGCGCCCTACGGTTTGGCGCTCTCGTCCCCCCGCCCCCTGCCAAGACTGCGCCGACTCAAAAGTCCCCCAACATTTCTTTGAAAACGGCTGTTTAACGCTGCAGTCCGCATACCAAGAAGCTAATCACAAAGTATCGGCCTGAATTGGTGGGGCAGAAGATCTCACGGGCTAGGCGGGATCATGCACTCCCCCCCACCATCACGCACCATCATCAAACGAGTGCGCTATCTGTTACGCAAACAGTACATTGAAGATTCCTGTCTATAATTCAGCATACCTATGATACCGACTTATGGTTAGATATGAATCGGTTGTTTCCACCAGCTAGCTGATTGCGGATCTATCGCGAAAAAGGCTGATGAGTTGAATGGTGCGCCGAGCTGCAATTGCCGCACAGGCATCTCCACTTTGTATTCTGCGGACAACATATCAGTCAGGCCCTTGACGGGGCGATACCAAGCGCATGAGAGCAGCGCAGTTTGGCCATTCAAAAGTATTACTCATTGAAGGTGATGCCGTGGGGGAGAATGATGGGAAGGGATGCCTTGCTCCGACTTTTTCTTATTGTGGCACATGACGGTTTGACATACTCTGTAGTAGTGACCATTTTTTGTATCTACTTACGGCATATTGTACTTTGTTTTCTAGTATTAATTTAAAGCTTTATGAAAATGTTATAATGGATATTGCATGTAGTTGCTGCCTCGTGTGGCCTACTCACACCGACAGTTAGCACGTTTTCAATTACTAAAGACATACGTCATTACTAGGATGTTTCCGATTACTATTTATTCTTGTGATAAAATGATGAATACTTTGCGTAAATATCGGGGATTGGTTAGAGACACATTCCGGCAATACCAGATAGGCGGAGCCAGCAAATGACATAAGCGAGCCCTTTTTCCTGCTCTTTTTGTCAGTAAAGTAGGGGAGAAGAGCTAGTCGTGCCAATGGTGCCATTTCCTGACGTCTATCTAACATCCTCGAAGAGTGTCTCTTGCCGAACAAAGGTAGTAAACTCGGCGCTATTCTTGGGAGAGGTGTTTTGCACTTTCCTTAGATCCTTTTGATACTTACTGTCAAATTACGCGTCACACCTTAATGAGAACTATGGAATCTTGTCAACTTTAACGAAGCTCCTGCTATTACAGGTGCTAGTTTGATTTCAGAGAAATTTACAGGTCCTCACATGAGGCACTGGTTGTGATCGGTAGGGACAAGCAAAATGCCCCTACCAATCCGTATTGCACCAAAAACTCATTGATTCTGGTATGTTTATTGCTACTTATTTCAGGCCAACTTCGCGCGTTTGAAATCACATCCGGTATGCCGTTATCGGTATCTGTGGCTCGTCCACCATCTGCTTCACTAGGGCAATCGGAGAAGGTTTCACCGCAGCAACAGCCACAGCAGCCACAATCACAGCAACAGCCTCCACATAACATCGCCGCGTATCAGTTGCCGATCAGTCAAGCGCAGAAAATGGACTCAAACATGTCGACCACTACACACATGGGTGTTCCTTACGGAAATCTGTGAGTTTTTTTTCTTGATGTGGCAATTGCTTTACCATGACTACTGTTTTACTGATTTCATATATTTTTCTTATTTTTATTACGATTTGTATTGATTTTCCTGAACTTTCCCCTTGAAACGTTAATACTGCTGTGCCTCTCGAGGTTTTCAGGTGGAATATTTATTTAGCGGCTTTAACGTTTTCGACGTGGTCGTCTTCTTCAGAGGCCTAAACGCGTTTCGAGTTAAGGAGATGAACACTACCCCGCCAAGCGCCCAACCAACCCTAGCAGTTCCGATGATGTGTTCGGAACTCAACAAGAAATTCTACAGAATTCGAAAAGCGCACTCACCAGGGTTCCACCGCAAATCCGCCGTCACATGCGGATGTTAGTCAGTAGCGAATGAGACCTACTGTAGGGTCTCCTTATACGTATAATGTTAAGGAGACGCACGTAACACCGCTACTTATAATTCGCAGTATGGCATGAACGGCAAAAAGTCATTAGCTATTGACGGACACTCATCTCTGCTGTTCATCCTAGGATTCCTGCTGGAAATCCAAAACGCCTCCAACGCCTTCCTAGCAGAAATTTCCGTCTCCTGCGCCAATATTATACACTTGATCTCGAAGTTGTCGCCATTATGCTCCTCACTTTTATGTCTACCCAGCGCTGTCGTGAGCCGACCCCGCCTCATACCAGTTAGGTGTTCGTTTATTCGTACACCGCCCAGGCAGTATTAATCGAATCATACAACATGCGGAGGTTACAGCAAGAGAGAGCTGTAGAAATATTTCCTCCTTGAAAACTTTTTTCATCAAATTGCTGGCATGAACACTTGAGACATCTATGCTCACTATGATTATGCGAAGGATGGGAACTTCTCGCTTAAGCATGCGTTCATACTGTGCCTCAGCGTGCGCCAGCGCCAACGATTAGGAAAATAGGTATCGATCCAGCGTACCGTAGCGTCTACCAGCGTCCACCAGCGACCAAGGGCGTCCCGAAGGCTAGGGATGATTAAAAGCAGTTGCCACGATAAATCCCCCAAGACGACTAGGATCAATACTCCTGGCACGATAGAATTCCGCGACCCTGGGCAGGCGCCCCGAGGAAGGTGCCCTTATAAGGGCCCTATCAAGCCACAACTTTACGTCCCAAACGCCCGCCACGCCCGCCCACAAATGGACGACCGTTCCTGACGCTCGTATTCATTCATTTGCTAAGCAAATTATGAAGCGAAGGGATTGGTATGAAGCGGCCGTGATGCTGCATGGATATATGAGTACACATATGCAACCGTAATTCGTTAGCGCGTGTTGGTAAAGATGCCTAGGGAAACTCGTCGAAAATCGATTACAACCCACTGAGAACGGGCGCTTCTTCTTCGCAGGATTTTTTAACACGTGTTCCGCTCATTCTTTCGCCATTTCCTCTACTATACAGCGCCCTACTAGCTTTTAGGCTAGAGTAGGAAAACTATCGTGCCAACTGCATTTAAGCATTGATCTAGCGACCAACAACGTCCACCAGCGTACGCTGACGCAAAGTGTGAACGCAGCCTAAGGAAGTCGTTTATATAGCTCTGAGTGCGCTTTTCATTTATGAGGTACTTTAAGTTGCCCCGCTCATCGGATACCAAGTGTGTAGCGGTCATATTTGAAAGTTCAGGCGCCATTTGTTCTGTGTGAGCAACCTGTAGTTTCCGTCATCTTCCAATTCGTTCTCTCAAGAGATATTTGTTAACTGATTCTGAAGTCTTATTTGATGGAAGTTTGACACTGCGAACCTCGGCTGCTATTCTATTGGAAGAGCTACCCCAGTCACTACTTACTTCTTCGTCTTGTCGCCATGGGCATAAGGTTTCGTCACGAGCTCTAACAGTTCGGAAAGTATGACATGCACTCTATTCGTGAGAATCGCGCCAGTTTTGAGACGAAATCACAAGATTTACTCCCTTCTATGCATCTCGAAAGCCCTCGGGTATTGCGCGGAGGGGTCAAGTACGAGGCGTTGAGGCGGAGACAAGCTCAGGCTCCATCATGGCTTGTTAATTCGTAAATGGTTCATAACCGGTGAATATTTTGCTTTCAAATCATCGCTGATGACAGTCAATGACCTTATGATGACATATGCTGACATCACATTTGTTCCTTTTTCTCCACTTCTGTCGTTTCACTATTTCGTTAATGTCTTGAGCTACGAATTCCCCTTTTCGTCCGGTTGTGAAATGTTGTCGCAGCCAATTCTCTAGCGTTTCCAGGAAGGAAATTGTTTGTGTCGCAGTTCGTAGTTCATAGCTACGAGGGCAACTTGATTAGCTCACCCGTGGTTTTCCTAGCTAGTCTAGTCCTCTAATCGGTCCTGGTAGTTTGCGGAGTTCGTTCGGGAGCTGATGTAGCGCAGAATGTCTGAAGTCCACCTGTGAAGCAACGTCATCGGGCAAAGCTTCAGATGCGTTTTCGTCGGACTCGCTCAACAAGACCCAGCTGTTCTCATCCCTAGGTTAGAAATGTTTGGCAACTGCCGTTAAAGAGAGTTCAGTTGCCTCAAGAATGCTGAGTTATGGGCAAAAGTCAGGACCACGGGCGGGATTCGAACCCGCATCTTCCGCTTACCGGGCAGTTGCGTTCCCTATTACGCTACCGGGGCCACTCTTGCCAACTATCAAACAATAACAGCATTAAGTGTTCAGTTGATTGCTTAGCCTTTACTCGTAACTTGCGCAGAACCTTCAGAGAATTGGAGCGGGGGTTATTGAAAGAAGTAGAGTGAGTAGGTATCGGGGCGCAGATGTAGCCGGGTGCGCGATCCAGGACCCAACCTGTTACAGGTAGATTACGTGTCATTGACGGCACATAAAATATTGAGAAATCACTTGTAAGTGATATAATGCGGGTCTCAATGTCCTCAGCATGTCAGATGACGCGTCGACCGGCACCCCTCAATAGCGTGGGACCGCTTTTTGACGTTTAATTTTGCAACCTTCTTTTGTTGTTTTTAGCTGTTATTTGGGCTTCCGTGCACGGAAAATTCATTTGGCGACGTTTATTGGATTGTGATCCTTTGTGGGTTTGGAGAAGATCACAAATGTCGTCTAGGGCTCCCATCCTTTCACATATAAGTTGGCGAATCGACACCAGTAGGCGCTGTGCATCTTTTGTGTGGTCTGCATGTTCCATTTCTATTTTTTTAATTACATCTTCGCTGCGAATAGGAGCGGCCAAAAATCACACTTGGGGGAAAGACTGTGACGTTACAGCGCCGCCAGTGACAAGCATATATCTAGTTTTGAGATCTCCTTTCATTTTTGGAGCACTGTCGTCCTAATATACGCTGTTCCTGAATTTTTTCGCTAGGACTGTGCTAAAATTTTCTTTTGCTTCGTTTCATAGTTCTGAATGCTGGCTCATTAATGTTGACGTTACCCTACCGCTGATAAAGGCGAACGGTTACTGATTGATGCCATATGCGTGAGAAATTAGAATGTTCAAATCTTGGTTAAAGGAACCGTCCGCGATGACCTATGAAAATGCAAAAGGTTGTTTGGGAGGTTAGCGCGGTCCGCAGTGGACAACCTTGCCAGTTTTGCGGCGGAAAGTTGTAAGGTAAAGGAGTTATGACGCAAAGTTGCCTCAGTGACACCTCCCTTTTTCCAGTGACTCCGCCCTAGACTCCGCCTTCAAAGCCAGCTTTCCAGCCAAAAGCGATGCTACCGCGCAAGTAGCATTGAAGTATCTTGCTCCATAGTATCTTGCCGAGTAATAGGATCCTATTAGGAAGAATGAACCGACTAGGTGCTATACAGCACGCGGTCTTTTACCCGTACAACTGTCTGAGACTGGAGTGTTCCTATTAGGGGTTTCCAACGTTCCCTTTGGCATTTTCTCTTTACAGACGAGTCACTTGACAAGTTGTCTTCCTCATTTCAACACCACTACATAAGCTCCTCATCGCGGACCGTGCCTTTAAGTATAAACTACTCGATGGCTTGTATCTTCCTCCAATCTGCGTTCATGTCCGGTTTCCGGAGATCTCCGATCTAGTGATCCAGCAACAGAACTTGGTCGAGTATCCTCTAGCTTGTTAATTTGACGTGCTACTGCCTTCTTTGTCAAGTCAGTTAGGTCCTAGTACTAATGCCGCCCACGTGACACCATCTGCGATCCCGCTTTGTCGGAGCGTGGGTTTCATGAGCAGTCTTGCATGTTTAAGGTTAGAAAGGTCTGGAGGCGTCCTGATTTTCGAAAAGTTACAGAGCATTTTTTTGCTGAGGGAACTGTTCCAGAGTCAGAGGTGAAATTATGATAGCGGCTATCTAGCCGTGAGTTTTTTTTTACTCTTCTTAAACCTTCATTGTAATCACGTAACTGGAAATGAGAAGCTCGCTCGTGTAAGATATTTGACCTGCCTGGGGGTAGGGAGGGTTGAGCATTTCGCTTTGCTTGTTCACGTCAACTAACAGATATCTTCGAAGTGCGGTCTGTAAACTCTTATGAAGCTCCGAAGTGGTACAGATGGGAAGTTCAGTCACATGAATTCACAGGTTTTCACAGAGTGACCTATATATGCCTCGTTCGGTACCATTTAGTGCCCCTACATGGTCCATTTAGCCACTACGTCGATTTTTCCTTCGGCTGAACTGGGTTGTGCGCTTTTACTTTTGAGCAACAAGTCTCTTTTAGTCCGACTCGACTGGTACTGCTACACCCACTGGAAATATGACTCACTAAAGCTTTCCTGTCGGACGAACGGGTTTCTTTTCTTGGGACAACGCTTCACACTCATTTATTAAATTTTGAAGATTTCTGAGCTTAAAGATTCAATCCAAACCTCATAATGCTAAATCCTCATTAGCCTTTCAAATTCTATGCTACCCCGTGCATGGTGTGAGGAAAACTCTCGATTGATTCCTGTTCAGACCAACCTAGTATTATAATTAATTGGTGTAATGGGTTCGTCTGGAAGATAAAAATAATAGTCATCGGGTGACGCCCGTCGGTCAGAGTATACGCCATAGTA